AAAAAAAAAAAGTTGCGAAAGTGGACACAAAAAAAAATATTTTGGCTAAATATTCTAAGGCCAAGAGCAGGCAAAATGTAAAAGATCAAGATGAAAATTAAACTTGCTTCAAAAAAAAATTCTACATTGCTACATTGCTACCAGAATTCATGTTATCTATCCAGGACTCATTAAAACAAAATTGAACAAAGCAGTAGAATAGATAATAAGTACACACTAAGTTCTAGGGCCAATTTTTCTGAGTGATTGTGTTCTTCGAGAGCTTGCAGAGATTAAAAGCCTGCAATCTATTTTCCTTACCACTGTTGTGTCTTGCCAAATCTGTCTTGAGAACTAGAACAGGAAATACCCTCCCAGCAGCTGTATCTGTAGATTTCTCAACTTAGGCTTTTATTCACAAACAGTATTCTGCATTTCTGGGGCATGATCACATTTTTGCTTCTATTCAAAAAGTTCTCAAATACATCACTTTGGCAATGAATGTTAAATATCTGTCATTCAAAAGAGCCAATAAAATGGAAAATTTCAAACAGGCTATTAAAATATGACAGCCAAGAAAGGACAACCAGTAGAAAACAAGATATTTTGAAGCATCAATTCAAAAATAATAATAAAATTATACAAACTGTAGTGCTCTTGTTCCCCATTTTTTTCTTGCCTTCAGCTTCCAAATTACAATGTTTGCAATACAATAATTTTTTTAATTAGTAAGTAGATATATAGATATAGAGGTTGTTAGAACATGTAAAAATCACCTGTCAGAAAATTCTTTGAAGTGAGCAATTACAAGAAAATAGTACTATGTACACTATTTATAGCCCATATAGGACACCTGGTCTCCAAGAGTGGAACAGCTTAAAATCCTCTGAAAATAAGAAGATAAATTCAGAATCTGCTATTTTTTTTAATTTATTTAGGGATTAGATAAGAAATTATTTCAATATGTATAGTCACACCAAATAGTTGCTTCATTAATATGCCAAACTTCTCCACAAACCACAAACTTTTTTAGCAGTTGTTACATTCTTTGGTAAAGGGTTCTCAGCTGATCTATCCATCTGCACTAAGAACCTCTTCTCTATTTGCTTTGATGATCCTTAGTTGCAATATTCAGAGAAATAACAGACATTAACTTCTCTGTGCTAGTCTCAGGTTTATTGGTCTCTTTCATGTTATGCCTCCCCCATTCCATTTTGCTCTCAAAATGCCTTTTTTTTTTTATCCAAAGCAGGTCTTTCTTTGCTCTGATACAATCCTGTCTCCTCTCTCTGAATATTTTCCAGATCTACTTTATTTGGTTTTGAGATTCAAGGTGTCAGCTGGATTTAAACTGTTGCATAATGAAGAAGAAGTTGATATGATCTGTGCAGAATCTGAAATATGGGAAAACCATATTACAGTGCCAAGATATTTCAAAGAACTACAAGTAGTAATTCTAAAAACAAAATGTTAAATCCAAGTTTTCACTTTGGGCTTTGTTGCCGAGTTTTTTTTAAACCTTTATTTGCATAGTTCTTTCCTTTGGAGGTCCAAAGTACCATATTAAACTAAGAACTCCAAAATACCAGTAAGTGACTGTGAACCATTCTGATTTGGAGTTTGAGTAAAACTGCGTATTTTAATGAAAATTATACAACATTCAAGAAACTTCCACAAAAGCAGTGGAGCAGTCCACAGCAGTTAATATTTTTTCCTCTCTCTCTCTCTCTCTCTCTCTCTCTCTCTCTCTCTCTCTCTCTGATCATGCCATTAGCTTCTGAGTGGCATGGTAAAGCAAAATCCAACACCAGCCCCATATGCTCTTTTTATAAAATGACAATCAGGGGGCGGTTCAGCTGATAAGTGCCAAAGTGTTCCAGAAACCCATAGACAGATATGCTTTGATTTTTGTGCAATTTAAAACACAAGAAAAATCTTGCTTGGGGAACAGCCATACTCTCCCAACTGCTTAATTCTACTATTGCTACTTTCTACTGCCTGCATACCTCAAAGGAAGCAAATTATTCTTATGTGTGAACAGATAATGGCTGAGAGTCTACCAAAAAAACTAAAAGGATCTTTTCAGAGCAGCCTGTGGGAAGAAGCAAAAGCTTCAATACAGGAAGACAGAAACAGCAGGCAACAAAGCAACAGCGGATGTGGGGTAAAGAGGAAGCAATGAAAAAGTGGATTTCGAAACATGGAAAAAATGCAAGAACCCAGAGAACAGAGCAGGAAGACTCAATGGAAAACAGGAAAAAATTTATAAGTAAAGGGAACCAGAGTCAAGATGCCAGAAGAATGATTAATTTGGCCACTAGAATAAAAAATGGGTGAGTTGAACATCCTACTTCTGTAAAAGATGAAAACTAAGGTGTCATTGATTCACAGGATTCTTGGCATACATGCAGGAGCTACTGAAAGGAAGAGCTGGTGAAGGGCACACACCGGGCACAGAGATGTGAACTCTGATGAATGGCAGAGAACTGGGGCAAGGCTGGTTTCAAAGGCCACAGAATAAGTGCACAGTTCCTGTACCATCATTCTCTCTTGAAGTCCTGAAAGGTTCTCCTAAACCCTGCAGAGTAAATTGTTTTGGGAGGGATGGAAGGTGACAAAAAGACCAGTGATCTCCATGCTAAGATGGCCTTCAGTGTTCTGTGTCATGTCTTCTTGACATTAGGAACAGTTGGAAATTATACAATCAATAAGGTGATTTTATAGTAGATACTTCAGCTTGTTAAATAAGGTTGTGGGGGAGAAGGAGAAGCAGTCCCACACAACATACAAATTTGTGTTCATTGCCAGCAGCTGTGGGAGGATGACTTAGGAAGGTTGAACCTCTGCCAGTCTGCGTATGAAGAGTAGATGCCTAATTTTGCAGCAGCACTCAACTTCTCAGTACTTTCTGTAAAATGAGACACCAAAGAGCACAGAAGATGCTGACAGGAACAGCACCACATTCCATGTTCCACATGCAGCAGAGCTGATAACTTCACATGATAATGAACAATTGTGTGATTGAGAAAATGAATTAGATTGACTCACCACAGAGGTTGCACTGGAGATGGTACCTTGTCCACATCGTTGTTTATCTTTGGCCAAGCTGATCTTTATCCAATCACCTGCATGTGATACCAGCTATTTCCTGAAGCTTCTGAGATGTAAATGTCCAGACACTTGCCTTCTGCTTCACACTAAAAGAATTACCCAATATTTTGTGTCTGGAAGTTATTGAAAAATAAAGGAACCAAAAATCCCTACCAGTATGAAAACACTACCTTCACATTACACAGTTGATTTTTGCTTTTCAAATCTTCAAGAAGTTGCATCTTGAGTTCAAGCAACCTACTGAACTTCAAGGCAAAAAATGCTCTTTGTGACTCAGAAGTATTGTAGAAATGCAACTGAAAAATTTAGACATTGCAGTTCCAAGTAGTTGGACATCTTGGACAGCTGGACAGCACTTTTGCATTGCCAAATGTCTTTACTGAGTCACAAGATATAATTTTAGGAATGATTATCACACAAGCTGTTAAAAAAATTTGGTTATAGACACCTCAGTTTTCCAAGCATTGCTTTTAGTGACCTAAAAATGAATGTTTATGGCCTATCATCAGATGCATACATTATGTTGGCTTATAAAAGTTCTGGAAGAGTCTACTAAAGCCAAGCATAATTTAATCACTAGAAAAGTATTTCCAGTCATTAACAAGAGCATATGTGTTTTGGAAAACTTGATATGTAGAATTCTAGTTGAGGGAGGGAGAGAAACAACAATATTTTACTCATTAAATAACTTCTCTGATGTAGTATTCTAAACTGTGCATGGATGCACAGCAGTTCACGGAAAGCATATTTGCATCAGATTCCAGGAATTGGATTCTTTTTAGTATTCTTTGATGGAAAATGAAGGCTTGGCTGCTTACCAGATTATTTGCTCTATGATAAATGTAAAAGTTTTACAAGCTCTGAAGGATTGTGGATAATCATTCCTGAGAAATTTGATAATCACTGAGGCTATTGCAAAAGCTGAAGATATGCTACCAGCTCAGTAAATCCTATAATTGAGATATGGATGTAGAAGTTGCACGAGAAGACTAATGTGAAAGATATTTATTAATAGTGAATAAGAAATTCCATTACATACCTCCACAGCAAACAGTCTCTTGGAAATAGCATGACAGTGGCACACTTTCAGGAGATCAGATATCTTCAAGCTAAGCTATCAAATGCCTTGCTTGAAGTACACTGAATTGATAGAATCTCTACAGTCAACACTACTTCCAAACTTTTATTTGCACCTCTCTTTCTGTCTCTGATATCCTAATCTTTTGCAGCAAGCGTAAATACCTTCTTTTGGCATTAAAATAGTGAGGGATGTTATTTTAGTATCACTAGTTTCAGATTTAAGATTACAGAATGGTGTCAGTATTTACAGATTTCTGCAATGCTACATAAATTTGAGCAGTTCATTGCAATATCAGAATTATTTAATTCTTCTTTTATGCTGAATTCTGTTAATATGCTCTTTCCTATTCACAAAACAGCAGACTTTGGAAATTATGCACAGTGCTAGAAGTACAGTGAGTATATGTGTTGCAGAATCTTCATAACAATATTTTCAGAAGTGGATATGCTGAAGGTTCATAGTGAGTTTATTTTTTTTATCAGTGAGACTGATAAAAGACTGTTTTCCTATGCAGCCACATATTTTGACAAAACTGGGGGGTATTTTCATCTTTTATCCCTCTACAAAATTTTGGCTGAAATGGAAGTTATTGAAGAAGTAAGAGGGAATGACAGTGTTTTTCTGACAGAGATATGGACATAAAGCAAAAGTTAATAAGACATTTCCTTAGGAAAATTCCAGCCCCTTTATCTCTCACAGAGTGAGTCACTTTTGCCCAAGAATGTTTGTGTTTTCTCTGTAAGCAGTTAGGCTCTGTTATCCTCGTATCTCTCCTGTAAAGATTTACTGTCACAGTGGAAATTCATAGAGGAAATAGGCACCCTAGAAGAGAGAGTTTTTCAGTGGAGACTGTGTGACTTCAGAGGAATGGTTTGCAACGTTTTGGTTGAGCCTATAAATACACAGAGTGACCAATTCCTCTGCTGAGTCAGGATAATAATGCATGCTAGAGCCCTGCATAGAGAAGGCAGCAACATGGGGGTTCCAGTGAGATTGCTGAGGGTTCATTTTAAGTAAACTTAATAGATAGATCCTAGGTCCAGCCAGAATTCAGGTGGGTTTGACATGTTTCAGTCTAGGTTTTACAAGAAGTAAAAAAGCATAGACTAGTTCAATCAAAGGAGCAATTATATAACGACAGTTATTTTAGAATTATTGACATTTATGTGTTTCATTTTTCTCACCACACCTGCAATGAATTCTAGCTACCCCCAGTGTTTCTGACACAGTTTCAATCTAGCCAAAGAAGGTAATAGTATGCCTGGCATCCATGCAACTTGGATTATCATCTTATGGCAGCATAGCTGACATAACTAAATTAATTTGACTTAAGAAATCAGAGAAGTCTTGAACTGTTGTCTTGTAGATGACAAACCAGTGCCTTATCAGCTGAGCTACTCAGATCCAGTCTGCAGTACTCTTAAGTGTGATTTCATCTAAGTAATGTGTTGCTGAGTCTAGTGTCAAAAGGATCTATCACATTACAACCTTTTCTAATTAAAGGAAAGAAGATTAAATGTATATGATCAGTCAATTAAAAGGCTGTAGTAAATTAATAGCCAGCATTTTTCTAACAACTTCAAAGTGATTTTATCATTATTCCTTTGAGTAGAAACAAATATCTTTTATTAATTTTTTGAAAATTAGATGAAAATAGGGCAGACTCTACTACATTTTATTTTTGCCTTTTCTTGCAAAAATAAACTATAAGTCTATCAATTAATTTCACTGGTTTTATTGGAGAATTAATGTTCACATTGCACCAATTTAATCCCCCATAAAATCTTAGCATTTTCCATTGGCTGGCCACAAGCCAAATTATACAGAATTTAGACTGTTAAAGGTTTTGAATGTGGGTGAGTAACCCAAACCAAGAATATTTCAGTATTTCTTAGAAATAGGCTCTATTTTTCTTCAAGTATATTTGTGCAAGAAAAAATAAGACTCATCTGAAAAAATTCACAGGAAGCCATCTTTTGTTTTTTCCCTTTTCGAATTTGCAATGGCCTGTATCACCTGATGCTGCCAACAACTGTGTTTTTAAGAAAAAATGCCAGGTAAATGCAGTACATCTCCTGAACTGCTGACTTTTGGTCATCTAGACAAAGTCAGTGCCAAGATATGATGGGTCAGACTGTCATTTAGCATCAGAATTAAAGATTTCCATGACCTAAAAGTACTTGTTAAAACTATATGCAATCTACTCTTTGAGGAGTATTACATCTTTCCTATGTAAAACCCTTAATTCTTCTTTTTGATCTAAATCCTTTTCCCAAGAGGATCTAGGCACTAGGAATCATACTTCCCACTACAACTTATTTGGTTTATGCTTCCATGTCACCCCTGACGATGTAAATGTTCCCAAATCACTTGAGCATCAGGTATGAGAAGGCAATTATTCAAGCACTATGGAGGTCTTAGCTGTGGGTCTGAGTCCCATACCAGTCTAAGATGGGTCTTAGTCTCACAGTACTTCAAAGTGTAATAAATACAACAAGTATTAAGGCATCTGTGCAAGGAAAGTAACCTACCATATTCTAATTTTTAAAGGAAAAATTGAAGAATATTAACAGAAGTCCCTTATTCAAGACCAAAATTGGGGCACAGATTAACAACAGACTTAAGAAATGGAATCACAAAAAAAACCATTTTATCATTCTATTCATCGCATTGTAAAGAAAATTACGATATTTTTTGAGGCCAGTCCATATGCTTTCAAAAACAGAAGGCTAGTCAGTATATTTTCCAATTTACTAGATAATTTCCAGTTTACTATATAATTTCCAGTTTACAGTGGTACTCTTTGTGGATTCCAAAAGCCAAAGCAGAAATAGTGGAATTTATCCCATCTTGGATGGACATTGCAAATTATTTTTCATTGTACCTGTTGAAAACTGTATTTTCCTACGGTAACAAGAATACCTCAAGCCTTATATTTATTTTTTAATAGAAGAGAAATTTAGACCTCAAAAAAGGATGATTTTTTTATTTGCATGTATAAGTCAGAAATATATTCACATGCTACACAGATATTTAATTAATTGGCTTCTGCAAATGTGTGATTAATTACATTTCTTAGCATACTTTATTTTTTCATTTTTAAATTCTCCATATTTGCATTTCCTCACACAGAAAGGGTATCTTTATGTTTTGCTGAACTGATTACATCTTTCTTTGGAGCTCAGGACATCTTTAGTTACTACCAGATCTTCAAATATTTTCAAAAGATTCCTGTTAGAAAGATCATCAGCCATTTCTATCCTCATTCTCCAAAGGAAACTTTGAGCAGATGCTCTCACCCAGTAGTAACATTGACACATTAACTTTCCTCAGCCACCTCACTCAGACTACTTAGTCTGGCTCCACCAGGGCTGGGAGCCATAATCAGATATCATAGTAAGGAAAGCTATGTCAGTAATGATGTCAGATGAATGGTGGTCACATGGCAACAGCCTCATTTGAAGCAAACAGTGCCACACTTGTTTTTAGGCTACTTTATGACTTGACTGAAAAATGACTTTGTTCACAACAAAACACCACTAATGTATGAGCTGTTACCATAGGATTTTAGCACGTCTACTGTTTTCTCAACATTCTTTTAATATACCTAACTGGACAAACAGTGTAAATATCATTAAACTACACATATTATCAAAGTCATCAATCAGCATGTAAGCTAACCAGATGAAACATTGGCAATCCTTTTTGGCATTTTGAATCCTCAAAGAAATGGTATTATGGAAAACATATAAAGTAGAAAATATTTTAATTTTGCATTTGGATTTGGCTTATACCAGGTTCACACATACAGGAGAATAAGGAGACGCAGTCAGCTCTCCTGCTAGGTCCCATAAGAGTGTTTTTCCCTTCTCTGCTCTGGATGTCAGTGGGCTGGTGGGATATACAGAGGGCAGAATAATGAGACTGAGCAGGAGGGAAGAATTTGCCCTCTGGCTCCACTGACACTGCAACAAAACAGAAGCCCCGAAGTCTCCTGTCACTTAAACTCCCTTTCCTTCCCTGCCTTCTGAGGTAAAAATGCCCCTTGCTATTTCTCATATACACTTCAGTTAGTGCTCTTACTCCCAGCAGGGGACTACCAGCAAGTAAGAATTTTTCATCGGGAAGAACTGGAAAGCCCACTGATTTCTCAGGAATTCTGAGCATGCTTGAAAACAAGCCACACCAACACAGCAGTACGGCTTGGTCAAAAATTAAAGTTTAAATGACTGGTCATAGGCACTTGCCTAGAGAAGATAAATACCAAAGCCAGCTACTGCAATGCCAGAAATTACTGCAATGGAGAAAAATTGTAAGTAGCCACATCCTAAAGCAGGCAGCAACATTTTCCTGCAGTGTTACTCAGCCCACAGCCTCACTGCCACTGTGGAGAGCAATAGAGCTGCAGTGTCTCTCACGGGCATCCTGGGCTCGTGTGGTTTAAATTCCCCTGAAGTCATGGTACTGGCTTGCAGTGAGAGCCTGAACTCCAGAAAGGAGACACAGACCTCTCTGTCTGGTCTGCAGTGCTTATTCCATTTAAACTATTGATTAGGAAGGAAAATGTTTGTGTTTAACCAACCAGGGAGCAGGAATAACAGCAAAGACAACAAAGAGAAGCTAACAATGCTCTGAATTTAGGAGAATGAGTGGTCAGGAAAATTTGAAAAAATATTTCAGCAAAACTCTATCATGAATGACTGTGTGGAAATCAAGAATCCTCAAACAGAAAGCAAGAAAAAATATTCAGATATTTTCAGAGAGTAACTAAATTATTCCTACCTTCTAGTATGAGAACAGGGACTACGAATGCATGCTATAGCATATTCTACCCATAAGGGAGAATTTGAATTGTAACTAATGACCCTGGAGCCTTGTTGGCATAGACTTTGGATTAACAGAAATTCTGAGAAGTCTGTCTTTTAAACCCTGAAGTTCCAACGAACTATAATAGATTCTGGGCACAAACTGCATATCATTCATACAGCTAAGCCTTTAGCACTGCTACTATTTTCTGTTGGCTTCTGGCACCACTTGTAAGTTCCAAATGAATGAATTCTCTATCTACTGATATATTGTGGGGGGAAAAAAATACAGACTCTCTACACTGAAAAATAACATGCATGCTTCTTTTACCTTCCCCTCTCAGCTCCTCTGCAGCATAAATAGCCCTGAGAAAGATGCACTGATTTCACATTGCCAAAAAAAAAAAAAATGTTACATTTCTATGGGGCATTTTATTTTCAATCACTTTTTTTTTTTTTTTTTACAGAACATATAAAATTTTTGAAGCCAGAAAGGATCAGCTTTTCCCACTAGGCCAGCACAAATCCTACTCTAACTAGACATGTTGGACCTCCTGGGGTGCATGAAGTCCCAAGAGGCAAGCTGAGCATGCACTGATTGAAGAAAGTACTGTGGAAATCAGGAAAGAAAATATGCAAACTAGAAGAGCAATAGCAACTTATACCTCACTTAGAAGAGTTTAAAGAAAGCATAAGATGAGATGGAGTAAGTGTCATCCAAAAACTGCCCAGAAGAGGTGAGGTCTCACTAACATAGTCAAAATATTATTGTAAATCCATATGAACTTTAAATGGCTGTGATCCAGTTCTGAGAGAAGGAAGACCCCTTGCAGCTCCAATAAGGTTTGTTTGGTGAGTATTCTCATGGAGGACTACAAGGAAGAGAGCTGCAGTGGAGTTTTTTTTTTTGCCTTTTATTTTTTTAAGCTAAACCCTCAGCATCTTCTCTTAAAATACTTTTGTCATCTTTTGTCATCCATTTTTGACCCTATATTTGGTTGTATCCAGCAGTTAGTGGAATAGTTAGCTGCTTTGGAATAAAACAAAACAAAAAACATAAAAAAAAAAAAAAAAAAAAAAAAAAAAAAAAAAAAAAAAAAAAAAAAAAAAAGCACATGAGCAGCAAGGATAACCACATCAGGGTATACCAGAGATTTACACTAGCACAGGATACTGTCTTTGACAGCAGACACTGGCAGATGCTGAGTAAAGGTGATAAGAAGAGGCATGCACATGATGATGTCCCCCTAGAATAATTTTCCACTTTCCATTAAAAAGATTTGCACATATGGTAGATACAGGATGGCAAAACTTCATTAAACTGATGCAGATGGCAGAGGAAAAGGATTCCATAAGTCCATCTTGCATTCATTGCTCTAGACATATTTTATATATCCTACTTGAACTTGCATAAGGTGCAGATAGTGAAGGCTGCAGGAATTATATGTTGTCTACACAGAGATTTTTCTTCTTTTTAATCTGAGAACCATATAACAGGTTTGAGACTAGGTTTATGCTTACACAATTAATATAGTTCTGTTAAAAATGCACAGAATATTACTGATTAACAGGACCACTATTAAACATACTTTTTATGGGATCACTGGCTGTTCTCCTTGACCAGTACACCATATAAAAATTGTCTTTTAATGGAAGAATACTGTACAGAGACCAAAATAGAAACTGCTAAAACAAACAAGATAATTATCTAAATTTTATAATATCACTCATAAAACGTCTGCCTTTTCCCTTTATGAGCTTGATAGATTAAATTTAGGGCAGATGTTTCATATAATTTACTCAGAAAACAGGAAAATTATTTAAAAAAGAACTCATAAAACGCACAAAAACACAAATGAAACTAATCTAAAACATATGCAGTCTACAGATTTAAAGGAAAAGTTAGTTATTCCTGAAGCTATGGATAAGGATGCTTAAGAGATAAAACCATCTCTCCCACACATTTTATAGTATTATATATTCTGAACTACTTTGGACAAACAAAGGCCCCTCTAAATTTAGGGTGCATGAGGTAGCTCTGGCTACTTTCCCAAAGACAAAGAGGAACTCAGAAACACAAACCCTGTTCCCCAGTGCACAGAAGCCAATCTGTGGTATCTTAATTATTGAGTTATAGAGGTACCTGCTGTAATGTGAATGTTGTGGAAGAATACCAGGTAAAAGATTACATATTATCTCTTTATGCACTATAAAAAGAGGAAGAGGAGCAGGTGTGATGTCTTTAATCCTCCAAAGAAAAATAATTTCTTCACTGTCAAGAGATACTGAAATCAAATACAGTTTTACATGGAATGTATTCATCATCAGACAAAGACCTATAGAGGCCAGTTTCATTAACATTTTGAAAGATTTCATTTTGAAGGCTCAAAAGTCTCCACACTACTCAATTTTCAGAATAGGTCAGCTACAGAGATCCCAAGAAAAAAAGAAAGTATACTGTGTGCTGTCTTGTTGCAAACTCTTTGAGCCCAAAGTCATCTGTCAGAATATAATTTATTATTATCTGGGTTCATATATTAACTGTGTTGTTAAGAAAGCATAAGGTCTGTCAGTACTTCTGGCAGTGCTGTTAGTGGTGGCATGCAAAATTTTTGGTTCTTCCGTAGAATGACCCTTAGATGCTGTGAAAGGTAAAGGTCTCTAAATGTTTGCGTGTGAGACTCTTGTAGTGCAGGTGGAAACAGAGATATATTTTTGAAATAAAATTTTCCCAGTCTGTCTCCATGTAGTGCTGATTCCTGCACTTGATGAGTGCAGGAGAGGAACTGAAATACTACACTCAGCTGAAGGCTTCTGAGTTATGTTCTTGGTTTGCAGTGTAAAACAATTTCTTAAGCAGAAAAAAATCATAATAGAAAAAATCCCTTCTACAAGATTATCAAAATGTATAAGATTATGGAATCCACCTATATATTATTCACTTATATGTTAAAAGCACTAAAGAAACAAAAGAATCCTAGTAACACACCAGAAGCATTTGTTCATGGTAACAAAGTTTAGGCATAAAAGAAATACAGGTACAGTACAGAAATACAGTAGTCATGGATTTCAGGATCACAAGAAAAGCAAGGAATATTCTAAGCCAAACTACATATTTTAAAAATACCCAAAACAATCGGTAAGGTAGCCATTTCTCAGTCCCTGAAGTTCAGAGAGGTGGAATAATGTGGTGGTTCTGTTCTGCCTAAATCTTGGCCTGCACTGAAAGCAGATCAGCTAGAGAGCAAATCCTGCAGCTGGCAACACATCACAGCCTGTTTTTGTAAGCTTAGCTTGATAAAGAGGGTTTGGCATTGGAGATACATGCTGTGTGTGAGATACCAAATGAAAGTAGCAAAGGAATGGATGAAAGCTACCAAGTGTTGCTTAGCCACCCTGTGCATCATCTGAGAAAGACAAGCCAGCTGCACACAGAAGAGCAAACAAGTCTACCTCAGACTCTGGGGGTAGCAGCAGTTAACTCAATGAACTGAAATGCACTGCGATTCCCTCGTATGAAGCAGAGTTCCTTCAAAGGCAAACAGTTGCCCTTCTAATATTGAATCAAATATTTTCAAATGTGTCACCTTAATAAAAGCTGTGGGACAATTCCTCTCTCAGAAAACATCAGGTTACACAATGGAGGAAGAAAGGTGCAAATGGCTTATGATGGGTAGTATCAAAGCAGTGAAGGAAAAACTAGCTCAAATACCTGATCTGAAGTAGGAAAAACAAGAAGTTTGCATTGCTGCAGCATAAACACATGATCTTGAATAGATATGGCCAAGGCTACAAAAAAAACCTGCAAAAATAGTTAACTTAGTTCACATGTCAGTTCTTCCACAGACCATAAATAAGCTTCAAAGAGTTATAAAACCAGGCAGTAGACACCAAATGCATGCAATCTTGGAGTAGTGCTAGTAAATGTACATCACCACCTCTCTGCTGCACACAAAAATTAGGTAAATACTTCATTCATACATGCATATACACATTGCATACACACATTCACTTCAGAGCATTTCTATAGTTTATTAGGTACTGGCACTAAATAAAGTTTTGTAAACATTTTCATTTCATAATTGTTAGTGGTAAGGAGAATATTTGTGGCGCATGGTCACTAAGAAAACAGAGTGAAAATACTTTTACAGGGAATATAAACAGTTTTATGGAGTATCAGAGAGCAAGAGGAAGCTGCAAATATAGAGCAGCAGCAGCTGTTCTGGGGCAAGGCAGCTGCTCTGGATCCATCTAGTAGCAAACTCTATTTGGGCAAACAAGTGGGTGGGGGACTGTGTAATGGAATATAGTGACTTTTAAAGTGGCATAACTCATAAATGAATGGGAGGACTTCTTTCTCTCTTTTTTATATTATTTTTAATAAGAATTGAGAAAGTGGCCCAAAACTGTTCCTGGATAATCAGTTGAATAAAATACCGGATTTATTACAGTGTTATTGACACCCTTTCTCAATCTATTTTCCATGAATATTCAGTTTAATTGTAGGAAAGCTTGAAAAAACAGACAGCAGAGCTGGTGCAAGAATATCTACATTTCCACATTATATATTTTTATAAGATCTAAATCCTTTGAGATTTATTTGTTCTGCCACAAATAAATAATAAAAGCACTGGAAAACTATGCATGCAGACAAATTTATTATGAGCACTGAAGATATGTTTACAGAAAGTTTTCAGCAAATACCTGGGAAAGCAAATATACTGTATATTAGCCATGTTGGCTTGTGGGAAATTTATCAATTAAAAAAAATAGATTACATTTATATAATTTCTTACTCAGCTCCAGTCCAATAAATATTCTAGACTGTTATGATGCAGCCAGGGCTGCTCATTCAGCAAGCAGTTGTTTCTTCTCTTGAGGTTGCTAGACTGACAGCTGGTTGCCAACAGTATATTTTTGTGGTAACTAACGAAAAATAATTTATTTCATTCTCAGAAATGTTTTCTGGGTGCAAGCACCAATCCTACTGTGTATGTTGCCCTGAGCTGGTATTTCACCCGATGTGCAGGGCACTGTCTGTGTGCCTCTGTTCAGAGAGCAGGACTCCAGTTGCTGGAAGCTCTGCGGCCTCTCCTCACCCATGGGTTTCCATAAATGCTTCTGTTTTGCCTAACAGTAGATCTCTCTCCGTGACAACCAGAAGTAAATAGGTTATATGTTCTCCAGACAGCTGCTGTAACATATTGTGGAATACAAACCTAGCAGCATCAAAGCCGCTCTACAAGTAACAATAACTACATTAACTGGAAGGAAAATTGATTTTTAACTTCAGCTAGCAGAAGGGAATGGACGTAACAATGACATTTTCTGGTTCCTGCAACGCACCCGCACAGTTCAGCTGCCCCTTTTCACTTGTGTGAAAGAGATGCTGCACTATCAGGCTAGTCTGTCCTAAGTACAGCTGATCCAGAGGATCTCTCATAATGACTCTGAGAGAAAAATATGCCTTTGATCCATCCTCATTGCCAGATCTCTGTGAGCTGAAGACTTTAGCCATCTGGGAATCTACCTTATTTTTTGACAAGACAGAGAGAAGCTGGTGATTCTAATTCATGGCAGCAGCCACTTTTACAGTAAAACCATTTTTGTTTCTTTCTTCTATTTACATGGTTGGTATGGTTTTAATACAGTGCAATAGTAATTGGGATAAATTATTTCCATGCACAAGATGGCCCTTTGGGTGTTCCTTGGAGACGGCTTTGCAAAGAACCTAAGGTTCATGACTGTCATCAACAAAAAACAGAAATAGTTCTTCCATCATTTGTTCAGCTGAATCTTGTGTAACACATGGCCACCACACTCCATAGCTGATATCCCCAGTTATCAGCCAGATTTTTGCCAAACTTTGTATTGTTATCCTTGGCCCATTAACCTAGAGATATTAAGCTCAAACATTTCAGTACAGTTCCTGCTGTATTCCAGTTGGAGAAGAATGATTCATTCTACCATTTCTCTCAGGAAGAACAGATCAGCCATGGGCATCATTTACAAAACCTAATGAGCTGCAGGCCTAGCTTCTTAGACTACAGCATTAATTACTCATTTTTAATCACCTGCTTCTCAGTAATCAACAGATTTCTTGACAATTGGTATGGAGTAGCACCAGCACAGACTTATGGAGAACACTAATGCTGTGCTGAATCTGCACCATAAAAACATCCTTGTGCTGTAGTTTCATAGCTGTCTTTTACTCTTGTTTAAAAGAGCATAACTATCAATAATGCTTTGTTCAGTACGTGTGTATATAATAATGTATATGAGCCATCATTATGGTGTCCACTGTGGAAATAATGCAGTCATACAAAAGACACATTGCTCAAAATAAAACTTAAGATAAATAAAGGAAGCTATAAAATGCTCTGTTGGGCCCTCTTCTGGACCTATTTAAAGTCAATGGCAAAGTTCCCACTGACCTCAAGCAGGAACTAGCTCCTTTTTCTCTTTCTAGATTTGTTTAGAAAGAAATATAATGACAGACTTGAAAGGTAAGATTAAATATTTGGGGAGAGGGAGAGAAAGAAGAAAAAAAAGAAAAAGAAATCAAAAGGGGATGAAGGAAAATAAAAATCTGTATTTTTACCATTCTGCATAGGATGTAACAGGAATTGCTTAGGGTGTATTTTTTCAGATTTTCCATGTTCTGGTTTTGTCAGAATATTTTAATACTTTATTGCTTGCATTTCTTTCCCAGTTCTTTCCAGCCTCTTCTCTGTGGGCACTTCTACTGGCCCCAAAAAGCATGCGGTGCTTCACAAAACTAGAAATGTGTTTGCCATTAAATATAATGTGTAAAATCTTACGATGCTTTCAGAAAAATAACGCTCACATATCCAAAATGAGGGGGAAATGGTACCTAATCATAGATATAATTCACAACATTTATTTCATCAGTAATGAATGTTGTCAGGTTTTTCCTATGTTGAACAGCCATACCTGAGGGGCACAGCGTTAAAGGGCACATTCACGGCTGACATAAATGGTAACTACGGCCACTTCAGTGAAGTTATCTCCAATTTAGCCAGCCATTACATTCACTTCAAGGTATGCAATACATTTTAAATGATAGAAGCAAGTCCAGGAAATGCTGAGTACTTCTACGAACCCTCTTTCGTGTGCGACTCCCCCTGGACTCAGGCTCCTTTCCCAAATCCAGCGGCTCTGCGGTAAGCGCCGCCTGAGCAAGACGCGGCGATGGTCAGCGCCGTGCCCTGTTTGCCGTCGCAATTAACAAAGCGGCATTCGGCGAGAGACACCAAAGAGCCTGCTGCACTTAAAGGGCTAAGGAGAGGTGATAACAGCCCTCGCTTCGTTAAGGCTCGCTGCCCAACTTTACTGAAAATGTAGTGACAGATAAAACATAAATCAACATCCTTATCGTTCTGGCTTCCTTGCTGCCAAATGGGGGTTTAGTTTATCAGCGACCTGCAGGCCCACTGGCGGCCTTTACACTTAGAGCTGGTCAGCGGGGTGGGACAGGGTGGAAGCTAAATGGCTGCTCTAAAACGCCTTGGTGTAAACAACCCGGGGAAGGACTTCCTTGAACTGCCACTTACCTGAGTGCCATCCATCTCACTAAAGCGTCTGCCCCAAGAGGGGCAGTATCACCAGGAAAGAAAACAAATAAAAGACACCCAGCATGTCGCAGGGCAGGCACAGGCTGGGGAATGCTGTCCCCTTGAGGGGCTGAGGGATCCTCAGCAAGGCAAGCTCCTTATGGCATTGCTCAGGGACCAGGCAAGTATTTTGGGAAAAAAGGGACTTCATCAGCACAGCCTGCTTCCTCTGTTTTGTGACCAGAATGTACAGCCTTTGCATATACATGTATACATATATGTATATGTATATGTATATGTATATGTATATGTATATGTATATGTATACGTATATGTATACGTATACGTATACGTATACGTATACGTATATGCATATGTATATGTATACGTATACGTAATGCAGTGTTTGCTTTGACTCCCTGTGAGCCTCATCATGGGAGCAATCCTTTCAAAGGCACCAGTATCCCCCAAGGCTCGGGAGAGGACAGCATCAAGGGTATATCCATCCCCCCTTGCAAGCCAGCAGACTTCTTTCCCTGTGTTATACATAGCTTGCTGTGTGTGTAGGGATTTTAAAAGTATTTGCCCCAGTACCTTGTGTCACAGTTATATTTGCATTAAGTTCAGCTCATAAAACCCATTTAAACTGGGCCTTGCTCATGAAGAGGCTATGAGTTTGGACAGGAGAGCCTCCAGTTTCTGGTAGATAGGGGACTACACTGACATAATGAGCCTCATGCAAACAGTTGGTGAAGATGAAATTAGCATTTAGATCAGTGATTTATTTCTCCCTTGAGATCTGCTTCAGCAAATAATTTCTCAGGAGTTTAAAGTGAGGTTACTGTAAAGGTGGGTTTCTGTCACTGTTAAAAGTATCAAATGCAGGTAGGTTTGAAAGACATAAGCACGAGACTTGTGGAATTTTTTGTAACTAAAACTGAATTTATTTTAAAAGTGTTGATTTTTCCCTGTCCTTTAGCTATAGTGAGTCAAACTACAGCATTTCATTTAGACAGCAAACTACTCCATATTTCTTTGGGTTTTGAAAGCCCCATCTTCTGGCAACAACTCCATGGAGAATAATGTGTTGAACAAAAGAAAATCACAGGTGGAAAGCGAAGACACAATGTTGCACCCATACCACTGTGCAAAAAAATGCAAATGTATACACTGAACAATATTACATAGA